GGGGGGAGTTGCTCAAGATCGCACAGCGAGTTATTGACAAATTAATGTGACTTTCACCAGTCTCAGGAATATGGCCACTTGGTGGGCACCATCCTTTTCCTTCACAGTCCCTTTGTTTCTGTGACTGTTTTTCTCTGACCTTTTCTCCCAGTTTCCATCTGACTGCCTCTTTGTCTCTCTCTGTCTGCCTGTCTCCGTCCCTGCCTGCTGGGGAGTTTGCTCAGCTCCCTCTCTCCCTGGGTCCCTGGAGCAAGATGTTTCCTGCAGGCACTCCTCAGGGATTTGTAGCTCTCAGAAGCTGTGTTTTCCAACCCAGAGTCTCAGTTCCACTCCTGGGATCTGGAGGAAGAGTTATGATTTGGTACATAATCAGTGGTGTGATTTGGAGAGGAAGGTCCCCTGGCTCCTATATACTACCCCCAGCTACCCTCTACCCCTTGCCATTCAGTAACCATAAACACTGATTGGCACCTGGCACCCTTTGCTTATGCAGAAATGAATAAGGCCCAGTCCCTGCCCAGTGAGCTCACCATGTGGGGGTGAGGGCGAGAGAAGACAAGTACACAAGTGATTCAGTCTAGAGCAGAATGCTCCCAAGTATGCAAGGACAAAAGGAGTGCTTTGTATGGGACACAGCAGGTAGAGATGGAATCGGGTTGGGCCTGGGGAAGTTCTCCATGAAGTAGGTGGCATTTAACTGGCCTTTGAAGGATAGGTGGGATTTCAACAGGAAGAGATGTGGTGAGTGGGCCATTCTGAGCAGAGGGATGAGGATAAGCAGTGGGTCTTAGCCACACCAGGTGTGCATATTGGTGTGCTCAAGGCACAATAAGCAAGGCAGTTAGGGTGCATGCAGGGGAGGTTGGAAAGCAGGTGGGGGCCACAGTCGGAGCACCTCACTGCCAGGCTTTGTGGAAGAGCCATGGGGGCCCCATTGTGGCTTCTGAGCGGAAGCGGCATCCGCTGGAGGCCTCAGTTACAATGGGAGAAGTACTGTGAAGAGCCATGCATGGCACCATGGTCCTCACCCTCAAGGCGAAAGATTTTTATTCTGAGCTCTACCTGAAATAGGTTTTGAAGGGGAGGAGCTGTAGCATGAGGGATCCAAGTGCCTTGGGGATGAGGGGATACTGGGTGGCTGTACAACGATGTAGGAGAGGACACTGGGGGCCCCAAGGCCTGACTTCATCTACGCTGCTCAGGCTGCCCCCAAGTCTCATGGTGACTCCAGGAAGAGAGTAGCCTGGCTTCCCGGCTGATCCTCTGTCAGTTCTCAGTCTGAGCTTCTCTGTGGTGTCCTAATCCAAAGCTCCCGGGGTGGGCCCGAGCAAAGGTCTCGTGCCAGCACTCTCTCTTTCTGGCTGGGCTGGGCTTTTCGCCTGCTGCCCTGGGACCACGCTGCCCTGGCCCTGGGGTAGGAGGGCGGTGATGCTGAGTCACTGCCTGTGCCTCTGGGCCTGGAACCTCTGGTGAGTCACCTACCACTGGGAGTGCTGGGGGAGGGGAAAGAAGCTGCCGGACATCTGGAGCAGAGAGGGGAGCCCGCCCACAGGAAGGGCGGTGCCCAGACTGGGTTGTGGATACACAGAGCAGTAGGCAAGGGGGTCTGAGAGGGGGCGCGTGAAGCCTGATGTGCCCAGCAAACACCTCCCCGGGGCTGGGTCCTGAATGGCCACAGTTTTTGCCTTTCTGTGGGTCTGGGGAGGGGCCTGTGGAGGCGGGTGAGGGAGGGCCGTGGCTGTAGCCTCCCCTCAGGCCTGGCTTCCTGGCTTGGGAAGCTGTCCAGTCCTCACTCACCTCCCCCCTAAGCTGGACTTCTCAAGGCCCGAGTTTCTCTTCTCCCTTTCAAACTTCCTCCAGGCTTCCTTACACTCCACACAGATGTTGCTCACCGTTGCTCACCCCAATTGTGATTGAAGCAGAGCCATCTCCATCTCTTGCTGCTTCCCTGTCTCCTTCCAGACCCCTTCCCACCCAAAGGGAGACTTCCAAGGTATTTTCAAGCACACCCACTTTCCTTATTACCATAAAGAGGTATTCCTGTGCCAGCTATTAAAAGTAGCTTTGTTTCCCCCACTGCCTGAAGTCAGCCCTGCCCTCCTCTTCCTGATGCCCCCCAGCTGCCTTCTCTGGCCACCAGCTTTCTAAAGGTGGCCCCAGACGCATGTGTGCGCACACACATGCACACACATACACATACACACACATGCACGCATATAGACAGCCCTGTGGAGTCCCGGTGTGCACTTGCAGCCTCTGACACACCAGTGAGCTGTGACTCACAGGCATGCATCATGAGAGCAAGGTCTGGCCTGTATCTCCAGGCCCCACGAACAAGGGCTGCCTCCCCTCCCACTGGGCCCAGGCTGCCCCTTCCCATGACACCTCCCACACCCCTCTGTGGCCTGGGTGGGCCCAGGGGCCGGCCTGGGTGGGCCTAGCGCTCCCCTCCAGCTGGTGGTGGAGCTGGCAGTCTCTGGGAGAGAGGGGGCTGGGAGGGAGTGGGTGGGGGTGGCAGAAGGCCAGGCTTTGGCAGGATCAGGTTAGGGCAGGTTCGGTTTCCTTAAAATGCCAAGTTGGGGGCCAGTGGCGCTGGCATATAAATCCCCACTCTGGGCACCTGGCCCTTCGCTTCTCTTCCTGAGTCTCTCTCTGCCATCTGGTCTGGTGAGTACCTCTCTCCTGCTGAGGGCTGGGTGGGGAGGACCCCCACGGGTCTCTGCCTTTGTCCCTGTGTCTTGATCTTTGTTTCCATAGTTTTCTCATTCTGGCTTCCTTGGTGGATCAGCCTGGGGCCTCTTGGGTCTCTCTCATTTGGGGGGAGCTTCTGTGAAGTGTCAGAGAGGATTTTTCCAGGTTCCTCTGTGAGGTCTCAGTTTAGGGGTTACTCTGAGGCACCATCTCTTGGGTCTCTCAGTCTAGAGGCCCTTCTTGGGAGTCTAGGCCTGGGAGTATGAGGTGTGTGTGGGGTGCTTTAATGAGAATCCTGAATTTGTTTGTTTTTTTTTCTTGTTTTTTTTTTGCCAAGTCCCGGATTCTAGCAGGACTAAGGAACAAGAGCCAGAGATCTCAAGTGTGTGGGCCCTCCTGGGTCCCTGCCCTGAGTAGTGGCATAGCTCTGCCCACTGTGGCTTCCTGTCTTCCCCCACCTCTTGAAGGCGGGGCTGGCAGGAGAGGCCCAGGGCTTTCCCTGCCTCTGGCACCAGCTCCTGTGGCCTCACCCTGGGACCTGCCTAACGCTTCTGGGCTGGTCTGAGCATTCTCAGAGGCAGGGCCTTGGAAAAGATGACCTCTGAGGTCTGTCCTTGTGTTCCCAGATTCCTCCCAGATCCCAGGGCACTGGACATTTAATTTCATCTAATTTCTTTAACTCCAATCCCAATCAGATCCTTCCTGTTGGGGAGGGTGTTCAGTTACCTCCACCTACCCATGCCCTGTCTGCATTGAGACAGCACCCCTCGGCTCAGCGGCTTCCAGTGTGAGGGGAGACACACTCCTTACCCTCTTAGAGCCCCTAGTCTGAGGGAGGAAACATACCTGCCCAAGGGAGCTTCCAGTTAGATGGGAGAGTGACACCCTATGGTCTTGGGAACCCCTGGTTTGAGGAGGGAAACAACTCCTCAGGGAACCTCATACCCCTAGGCTATAGCCATGGCTACTGCCAGACCCCAGCGAGCCCCCCTAACTAGCCCACGGAGAAGCCCATCTCCCCAGTGCTGACTCAGAGCCCACTGGCCTGGGAAGGAGCTGTGTAGAGAGGGTTCCAAATGGGACTCTGGCCACCCTGCCATTTCCCTTTCCACAGACACTCAAAGCGGGGAGCCTTGCCCTTGGGGTGTGCCCCAAGTGCAATCAAAGGAGACATGAGGCCCTGCCCTTGGTGACTTCCAACACAGGGGAAGGTTTAGCATCTGCCCTCAGAGTGAGGTGGAAGTATGGGCCCTGCCCAGGAAGCCAGTCTGAGGAGGAGACACAGCCCCTGCCTTCCCATTCAGAGAGCAGTTTGGAGAGGTGGTTGGGGGCACAAGTGCAGAAGTGGGTCCTGCAGACTGGGCTGAGGTGTCTCCATCATCTGCCACCCACGTGCCCTCAGATCCAAGATGTCCAGTCCCCTGGAGCAGGCGCTGGCTGTGATGGTCGCCACCTTCCACAAGTACTCTGGCCAAGAGGGCGACAAGTTCAAGCTGAGTAAGGGGGAGATGAAGGAGCTTCTGCACAAGGAGCTGCCCAGCTTTGTGGGGGTGAGTGAGGCTGTCCTGGGATGGGAGGGTCTTGGTGTGTGAGTGTGGGGGCGCAGGTTCAGTCTCTTCTCCCCTCCTCTGGGGTGCCTGCTGATGCAGCTTTGCAGAGAATAGATGTGCTGTCAGGGCCCTCAGAGTCCATCTGTCCAAACCCCTCATTGGAGAGTTGAGCAAACCAGAGCCCAGAGAGGGGAAGTGACTGGCCCAAGGTCACACAACTCTCTCTCTTTTATTTTTCATAATTTATGCCAACCTAAGAAGGTGTGTAGGGAGAGAAAAGCCCAGCTAAGATGTGTACCCTGGGACATTTTGCAGAGAAATGCAGTCAACTCTCAATTTACCCTTTGCTCTCCCGGTATCCTCCAGATTAACTGCTGAATCTCAAATAATCCCAAAGTCAGATTTTAGACTTTGAATATATGAAGCATGTCCATCTTTTCTTTAAAAAGTTTTTTGGTCAAATTTTTCTAATTTGGTTTCATTTTGGCTGATATTAAAAAGAGTTTGCCTTTTCTGAGTTTAACTTGCTGGTGATGGGGCATGGCTGTGGCTCCAGAAGGCTTCCATTTCCTCATCAGCAAAATGGGGGTAATGATGCCCACCTTGCTGAGCTCCTGTGGGGAGCAGAGCTGATCCTGTGCCTAGGGAGTGCCTGGCATGCTCCCCATTTCCAGCAGGGAGAGCTGGAGACTCTGTCCTCACTCACGGGGCCTCTTAGTAACTCCCAGGGGCTCCCTGCCCACCGCTTACCCAGCTGTCCAGTGTGGAGGGAGAGCTGGGCTCTGACCAGCGAGTGTATGTTTGGTGTGGAAATGGGGTGGAGAGCGGCCTGGTGATGACCCCACTCTCTCTCGCTTTCAGGAGAAGGTGGATGAGGAGGGTCTGAAGAAGCTGATGGGCAACCTGGATGAGAACAGCGATCAGCAGGTGGACTTCCAGGAGTACGCTGTTTTTCTGGCCCTCGTCACTGTCATGTGCAACGACTTCTTCCAGGGCTCGCCAGACCGGCCCTGAAGCAGAGCTCCTGGCTCCCTGCTGTGGGTCTCTTGGGCCCAGGAGGACTCTCTATCCCTTTTAGTTTTGTACTCAATAAACTTTTTTGCTTGTTGATATTGTTTTAATAGCTCAGTGATGCTCTGTAACCTGGCTGGCTTAGTTGGAGTGCTGGAAACTGAGGGCTTGTTAGATCCCACCCCCTTCTGGAACCTAACTCTCCTTCTAGAATTCTCTCTGAGGCTAGAGCTGTGCCTCAGATCCCAGACTTTGGGATTTCAAATACCAGTAAAAATTTGGAAATTGAGGTAGTCTGCTAATATTTTTTTATGCTAAATAAAGACATTAAAAAAGGTAAACAGCATCTATCATCACTATCATTTCATAAAAAGAGAAAAATTCCAACAAAGAAGGAAGGATACAATCTCAGAATGAAGGACAGACCTTCACATTCAATACTGTGAGCAACCAGTTGTACTGCGATCTGCTCAAGAGACATAAGTTAGTCTAACCAACCCGTCAAAGCTTCATAATCTGACTTCTTGTCAGATTGCAGATCATAGGCAATGTCCCTCTTTTTAGCAAAGCTGTATTTCTTAAGATATCTGCTTTCAGATTGGCTAGCTCTAGTTTGAATTTATTCCTCTCCTATTGGTCTCTGATGAAAGCTACTAGGAGCTAGTTCATATCAACATTCTGATTTTTTTCTACCATTTTCCCTAAAATTGTAGCCTAGGTTTCCATATATTACGCATCCTATGGTACATCAGATAACAGTTTGACCAAATGCTTTGCCATCTCATAGCAAAGTCACCAACCTTCCAGCCTGCAAAGGTTAGGTTCTCATATTTTATTCTTTCTACATTAGATGGCTCCCACTTCCAGTTACCAAATTCTCTACCAGTTAGGAATGTATTCAGTTGTAAATTACGGGAAACCTGACTAACAGTGGCTTAAAGAAGTTGGCATAAATGCCTCACACAGTAAGAAGCCTGAGGTATGTAATTATACAGCTCAGGTTTGGTTCAGTGACTCAGAGATGCTGTTCTGGTTACCTCTTGCTGCATAATGAGCCACCTTGACACTTGGTGAATTAAAATGCAAATTTATGATCTCTCAAGGTTCTATGAGTAGGCTGGTATCAGTTGATGGGTTTCTTACTTGGGATCTCTCATGTGTTGCAGATGAAAGTTGGGGCTGGAGTCATCTGAAAGTTCAAATGAACTCAACATCTAATGTAGCTTCCTCAATATGCCTGGCAATTGATACTGGTTGTCAGCTGGGAGCTCAGCTGGGGCTGCCATCTGGAATGCCTACCCATGACTTTCCTATGTGGCTTGGGCTTCCCAGACCACGGCAGCTAGGTTCTGAGAGGGACTGTCCCAAAAGTAAGCATCCCAAGAGCCCAAATGGGAGCTGTGAGGCTTCGTAAGATTTATCTCAGAAATCCCACAACATCACTTCTGCTGCATTCTATTGGTTAAGCAAGTCATTATGGCTGACCCAGATTCAAGAGGAGGAGACTTAGGTTCCATCTTTTAATATGAGGAGCAGCATGCATGCAATTGACAGTGACCATCTTTGGAGACTGTATACCATAGTCTGTCTTCTAGCAACCACAATTCACATTCCTTCCATATGCAAAATGTACTCACTTCCTTCCTAAGACCCACAAAGTCTCTTCCCATTAAGACATCACTTTGAAGTCCAGGACTTTGTTATCTACGTCAGGTCCAGATATCGACTTGGCTTCTCAGGTGCAGTTCCTCCAGTACAGCTCCTCAAGAACAACTCCCTTTGACCTGAAAATCTGTGAACAACAAATTCAATGTACAAAAGTGAGACAGAGATAGAGAATTGCAATAAACACTCCTATTCAAAAGGGGGTGGTGGGAGATTGAAGGTACAAAGTGGTCATTGGTCCATAGCAGTTCTGAAATTGTCAGATATATGCCATGAGGCTCTTGATTAGGGCCCAGTTCTGTTCCCTATAAATGGTTCTTCTTGGCTCCACTCTTTAGGCTCTTGGTTTCATTTTCTGAGTTAACTTTCTTTACTATAAGAAATGGCTGTGTTTGTAGCTAAGTGGCTTTCTCAGCAGCTTCCTGCCTATAGGAAGTTGAAGACCCAAAGCTTCTTTTTGTTTTTAGCTATCTTTTTCTCTCTCAGTCCAAGATGATATAATTCCCTTAAAAATGTTGTGGGCTTCCTGTGTTTTAACTCATAATTCATTTAATTAGACAAAAGCCACTCCTACACATCTCTTTGAGACTGGCCCCTCTCTAACTTAGACTGAGAGTCAGGGTGCTGTGAGAAAATGCCCTTATGATTTTTAAAGGCCTTCTTGTCTGAAAGCATCTAAGATGCACACTTCTAAAATTTTAGAAGCCATATGGTTTATCAAGAAGATCTATGAGACTTGCCCTTAAATCTTTTTGACATCTCCATAAAGGGTCTTACTTTTGACTTCATCTTTACCCTGAGGCCCTTTTTATCAGCAGGGCCCTGGATTTGATCTTTGCCCTGAGATCATTTATTACTTTGAGACCCATTTGCTGGCTGGAAAGACTGCCGTGGGCCCTCTATATTTTCTCTAAATTTTGCTCAAAAACAGAACAGTTCCTTCTTTAGCTCATCTCTTTGTTCTCGTGTTTTACCATAGGTAGCCTGGAGAAGCCAATTGGCACTTTCAGTATTCTGTCTAAAAATCTCCTTAGCCAGACCCATGAGGTCATTAGGTACTCCTTCTATTTTCCGTGTTACCACAGACAACAGCGTTTCCAGACATTCCACCACTACATAATAGGGGTCGCCTTTTCTTCAGTCTCAGATAACAATTGCTCACTGTCCTTCAAATTATTACTAGCAACCTCCTTGAGGTCTTTGTAGCTTTCGTCCATCACCTAGTCCCAAAGCCAATGACATCTGCTTTAGGCTTTTGTAATAGCAGCATCCTACTCTTGCAGGTCTTTGAAGAAAGATTTAAGGAGCCAGTTCATGATAACTTTCTAAACTTTTCTTGCATTGGCCCTGGTGGACTAGTGGTTAAGTTTGGCACACTCTGTTTCAGCGGCCTGAGTTCGGTTCTTGGGCACAGACCTACACCACTCATCTATCAGTGGCCATGCTGAGGCAGCAGCTCACATACAAAATGGAGGAAGATTGGCAACAGATGTTAGCTCAGGGCGAAAATTCCTCAGCAAAAAAAAAAACCCAAAAAACAAAAAAACTTTTCCTACCACTTCCTCTGTCACTACTTCTAGGTTACCATTTGGTCTACATCCTGAGATACATCAGGGGACAATTTGACCAAATATTTTGTCATTTCATAACAAGAGTCCCCAACTTTCCAGCCTGCACATATTAGGTTCTCATATCTTAGTGTCTTCCCTCCTCCACTAAGCCAACTCCACATTTTAGATTCTTTTACTTGAGGACTCCACTGTCAAATATAAAATTCTTTACCAGTTAGGAATTTATTCAGCTTTGAGTTGCAGATAACCTGACTAATAATAGTGGCTTTAATTGCCTAACATAACAAGAAGTCTGGGGCAGGCAGTTCAGGGTTGGTTCAGGGGCCCAGGGATGCTATGTGACTCTCAGCATCTTTTCATTTTTTGCCCTGTAATCTACAGCATGTATGCTTTTACCCTCATGTATGTTGCTTCATGATCACAAGATGGCTGCTGTACCTCCAGGTCTCACTGTCCATGTTTCAATCTGGAAGACAGAGGAAGAGTAAGGTGCAAAAAGGTTTCCCTCAAGAGACTTTGCCTTTTTATTATGCAAGAAGTATTCTCTCCAGGGATTTCCACTTATATCTCTTTGGTCTTAACGATGTAATATGGCTAGTCCTAACTGCAACCAAGTATTTTTAGCTAGGAATGTTGACACTTTGAAAGAAAAAAATGTATTTTAATAATAAGGAAATAGGAGATGGATAGTAGATAAGCAGTGGACGATATTTTCCTGAATTGTTTCCTTACTTTTCTTACTTCCCTGGGAAACTCTGATGCTTGGGAACTGCTTACAGAGTAGCTCAGACTCGAGCTCCCAAGAGATGGAAAGGAGTCGAGTGAGAAGGTGCTGGGACAACCTGCTTGTTCTCACTTACTGTTCTGCCTTAACTGTGCATCTGGGGCTGGTGAGGCCAGGCCAGGCAGAGCCTAGTGATAAAAAGAGAGAAACCTACCTTCCCAATATCCTGTAGGAAAGGGAGCCAGTGAATATAGGTCAGGGAATCAGGAGAGTGGTAATCACCATTTCCACAGCAGCTCTCTAAGCTCTGTTTGTGCACACTGTCATTTCAACCTCATGGTAACCCAGAGAGGAGCTATCATTAGGCTCTTTTTATAGATGAGGAAACCGAGAGGGAGCAGCATCTGCCATTCTTGGAGCACTCCCTCCAGCCAGCATCTCTGCTTGGTCTGTTTGGGCATCATCTCATTGAATCCTCACAGCAGTTGGATGAGGGATGTGCTATTGGTTTCTATGCTTCACAGAGGAGGAAATGGAGGCTGGGAGAGATTAAATAAAGAGAAATGTTGGGACTTGACCCAGGTCTGTAAGAAAGAGCCTCACCCACATGGGACACGGGGTGGCAGTCTGGCCTTCCTCTGCTTTCCCCAGCCATCTCCAAAGACTTGGCTTTGTGGGAGGTGAAGCGGACCCGGGTGAGCAGATTCCAGACGCTCTTCGTCTCTTGATCCTGAATCAAGGGGGACCTGGGCCCCCTTGGGCCCAGTTGCATTATTTAGTGGTTGCATTATTCTAGTCTGATTGCTCACAATAAATTCTGGCTTCTGTCGCAGCTCAGTTCCAGGTTCTGGGTCTGTTTGGGCTGGTGGAGACCGGCCTCAGCTGGCTGCCTCTGGAGCTGCCCCTAGCAGGCTGGGCACTCCATGGGGCTAATTTCTTTTCCTTCTGCATATTTGACAAACAAACACCAGACGTTCCTAGCTGGTCTCAACAATCTTCCCTCATCCTGCCCCTCCCCCCAAACCTCTGTGCTGAGGGAGAGAGCAGGCAGGCCCAGCAAATGGCACTGTTCAAAGGACTGCCGGCCAGGTTCTCTCTCACTTTCTCCTGGGATGGCGGCTGGGAGGAAAGCCTCAGGAATATCTAGCTCACCTCTCATCATGGCCTACTGTCACTTTGGCCTTTGTTCTTTTGGGTCCATCCCTGGCAGCCTATTGACCCTCTAAGAAAATAGAGACTGCAGACAAAGGTGGGTTCTGAGACAAAGGAGTGACTGAAATAGGGCTCCCCACCCTCCTGTCTTTAGGTCACTCCATCTCCCCACCAACTCACTGCTCCTATCTGGGAAACGGGCACAATCAGGCATAGGTCTCAGGCTCTCCTTGATCCCAGTTCAGATCCTCTCCCCACCCCATCCTCAGTTCTGTAGCGAAGGCCTCCCTGCTTCAGCCCCAATAATCAAATACCCCTTCCCAAGCCTTCCCCATACTTGGCTCAGATGATGAGAAAAGGAGGTGAATCAGTTTGACAAGGTTCATTGGCCCCAGGGGGCTACGGGCTTGGAGGTGAGGTCACCTTGTCCTTCGGGCCCAGGCCCTTTGTCACAAGCACATGGAATGTCCAGGTGTCTAGAACACTTCATCTTATTTACCCCTGAGGTGCACAACCAGACACCAACCTGCAGAGGCAAGGCAGTTTCCCAGGGGCTCCATGAGGCGGTGGTGGCAATAGCAGGGGACAGAGGCAGGGAGAGGGTCAGTGCTGTAGGAAGTGCTGCCAGGCCAGGCAGCATCTGCTCTCACCTCTCGCACCCTCAAGCTGCTTCTGCAGGGAGAGGCCCTCACCCTCCAGATGTAGCACACCTCTCAGGAGTCAGCTCCACATCTGCAGTGGGGGAGCTCTGGTGAGGGGCTAAGGGTATTGGGCTGCACCCAAGGGTAGATACTCTAGTGTGTGGAGAGTGGAACGTGGGAAAGGAGGAGGATAGTCAGTCTTGCTGGGGCCCTGAGGGACAGTTAGTGTGGAATGCATTTGGAACCACAGTAGAGAGATCCAGGGTAGACCCAGGGGAAGAGCTTCCAGCAGGGCAGGAAGATTCCAATCTCTGAAAGAAGAACTTGGAAAGGCCAGGGAGGAGAGATTACAGCTCTACCCCCACCCGTGTGGAGGCAGAAGGCTGGACAAAATGAGCTGGTGAGGAGGACCTGGTTCTCACCCTCCACCTCCCCCTCCCTGCTGCCTCCATAGAGGGACTCAGCGCGTGATTGCTCAGTTAGACTCAGAGACCCCCACCCTGACTCGTCCACAATAACAGCAGGTGATGCAAAGCACTTTCACTTCAGAGTCTTTGGGTAGGAATCTTCCAAACCCATTTTGGAAGCAAGGAAATTAAGGTCCAAAGAAGGCAAAGGATGTGCTCAAGGTCAGGTGGCCAGGGGGTGGTGGAGCTTGGAGTGAGGGTCCTCCAACCCCAAAGTGTCTCCCTCCCTGTCCTCCCTCACTTCCCAGCTGTCGCTTCCTAGAGTGAGCTCTGGCCCCTCCGCAGGCAGCCTCGCCCAGTGGGCAAACAAAGGTGCAGCATCCCTGAGGCGCGGCCTTGCTGAGAAACACGAAAGGCGGGGGACAAGGACACGGGGCCTTCCCTGACCCCCCGTATAGAGTGCCTGGCCCCTCACCATTTTCTTTGCCTTAGCCCTCCATTATTGTTCTTCCCGGCATTCACGTCACCAGCCTATCACACATTTATTTGTAATCGTCTGTTTCTCCCACCAGCTTGGCATCTCCATAGAGTGAGGACTAATCTGTTTTGTTTATGGCTGTACCCCCCATGCCTAGGACAGGTGCCTCTAAATTTTATATGAATAATGAATGGCTCTTAGCCCTGCCACTTATTAGTTACACGACCTTGGGCAAGTTACCCACCTCTCAGTTAACATAACACCCTTACCATGTGCCTGGCACTATTTATCTGTGAGCTTTGTAGGTATTACCTCATTTAAGCCCCACAGCACTCCTGTGAAGTGGTTACCATGATTATCCTCCATCATTGATGGATGAGGAAAATGAGGCCCAGAGAGGTGGGGTGCCCTGCCTAAGGGAGGCAGCTGGTGGCAGAGCTGGGATATCATAGGCCGGAATAAGTGCTTGACCTAGAACTGAGTTAATTGCTGGTCCACTCTGGCCCCCACTTGTGTCCCCTACTCCCCATAATTCCTTGCCTATAAAACAGGGTTAATCACAGCTTTCTCTTCCCTTCCCTCCCCTCTGTTCGCTCCCCTCACCCACAGGGGCTGAGTCTTCAAGATGATGGTACAAGCAAGGTCTTGGTGCTGGGCCCTGGGCGAGGTCAAGGTATCATTGGCTCTCTGGCTGCCTCCCGAGCATTAGGGCTTCTCAGAGGTCTGGGCGCTGACCTCCTCTTCCCCCTCCCACACTCTTCTGGGTCTTGAGTTCTCCTTCTGTGAAATGGGGAGGGGTCTCTCAGGCTCAGGGGTGAGGGAGGGAAGAGAGTGACATGAGGGGATTTCCATGTCTGGTCATATGGTGGCCTGTGCCTGCTCCAGCTAAAAACAACAAAAAATGCTAGATAGAAGGAAAAAAAATCTTTTTCAAAGCATTAAAGAGCTGACAAGGCAGTAAGGAATGAGGAGATCAAAATCTAAGTGAAAGCCAACTCCAGGAACGGAGCAGAGCGCTAGGGTCCCCCATGCCCCCAGAGCATTGGCCAAACCTAGCCAAAATGACTTTTGGCTTTGATGATTTGTGGAGCGAGAAAGACAGAAGCTAAAGTCCAGGGCTTACTTGAGGAGGGGAGACAAGGGCGACACCCCCCTTCATGCTGGGACTCCAAAGGGCTACACATTTAAGCTAAAAGCCAGAAGAATCCCACCCTCACCCCCATGGGACTGCAAGGAATGTGGTCTTGGTGCTGAACGGAGCCTGGAGGACTGGAAACAGGCATAATGGGCTCCAGGCAGCCCTTGCCCCAGTCTGCAGCCCAAATCCAGTCTCAGCACCTGGAGAGGGGGCAAGAATGCAGCCTAGACTGCTGGAAGTGTCCCTAGGGGGAATGCACCTTTCTCCTATGCCTCGAAGACGCCCTGCAGATGATCTCCCCAGGGAAGCAAGCAGTGCACAGCCCAAAGTGACCAAATACCTTTCTTCTAGAGATCAGGCAGGGAGAGTATCTCCTGGCCTCAGTCTTTTCACCTGTAAATGAGGGGGCTTAACCAGAAGCTCCCCAAGATCTCCTCTGGCACAGGGATTCTCTGGGAGTGAGGCTGAAGTGTGTCCCCACTTTTGTTCTTCTGGGATGTCTCTTCAGAGTGAAGAGACGGGGGTGGATGTGATGGCCTAGCCCAGCCTGTCTCCTCCAACAACCCTGGAAGGAGATGGGCAGCAGGCTGTCCCCAGTTTCCAGCTCCGGGGGAGGGCAGAGAGGGGGATGAGGGGGTTAGTGTCTGAGGCCCAGGCTGGGCCTTTGATGTGTGCATGGAGAGGTGGGCGGATGGGGCTTGTAATGGGGGCTGCCAGGGAAGGATGGAAAGGGAGCCCCTGGAGGCATCCTCAGCTTGACCTACTTGGGCCCCCCATAATTGCTCCCTTCCTTCCTTGGGAGGCTACAAATAGGGATGTCTTGTCTCTAGGCTCCCACAGCTGAAACACCAGCACAGTGGTGAGTGCCAGCTGGGTCTTGCCCTGGACTGGGTGTTGGGCAGCTTAGGGTTGTCTCCTGGCCCAGAGTCTGGGCATGGGGGCAGAGGGAAGACCACAGCAGGGACTGATGAGGTGAGGTGTTCCCTTGTACAGTGAGGGGCTATCGGGAAGTTTGGGTTAGGGGGTGTGCAGAGCTGAAGTCTGGCCCTGGGGTGGGGCCGTGGGCTAAAAGCGCTGGTGTTAGCCTCGGTTAGCTCCCTCTCCCTCCCCTCTGCCTCCTTCCTTCATTCCTGCCAACGGGTTGAGACAGCCCAGGGCTGCGTGGGGAAGAGAGGATTCCCTCCAGTCTCCAGGCAGCAAGCTTCTGAAAAAGCAACAATGATGGCGCCAGGCAGGCTGGCAGGAGCCCAGAAGGGCAGCTGGGCACCTCTGAGGTTCCCTATTCCCTGGGATCATGGCCCTTTCCTCTCCTGGGACCCCAGACACCCAGTTCCAACCCTGGGCTGTCACAGTTAGATCTCAGACAGTGCTTGGCTCCATCACCCCCTTCCTCCTATCTCCCCACCCCCTAGACACAACCAGGCTGGCCATTTGCTCCATAGGTCCCAGCAGAGGGGGAAGCGTTAGGGAGAGAGCCATGGCCCTGGCAGCCTTACACTGCAGGACTCCTAACCCTGGGGGAATAAGGAGTGAGTCACTGGGCTCACATGGAAACCACACTTGCTTTCCTGGCTGCCTTAGGGTTTTCCCAAGCTGGAGGCATCCTTCCAAAAGGGCAAAGGGGGGTGCCAGTGGAATTGGGGGGTTGGCAATTTCAAGAAGGGCTTCCCCTCTAACAGAACAGGGTACATCTTTGCAGTGCCTGCTGTCCCAAGACCCCCAAGAGTCAGGGGGATGGCCTCAGGTGGGGCAGATCACAGATTGGTAAATACCAGAGCCGGCTGTCTCTCTGAGGTCCCTGATGAGGCCTATGAGGTGGGATTAGCCCCATTTTACAGATAAGGCACCTGAGACCCAGAGAGGGTAAATGGCTTATCTGGGGTTGCACAGCTGGTGAGAGGCAGAGAGGACCCCAGAAGTTTCTCTTTTGGATGCAGCTTCCCTGAGTTTGGGGAAGGAGGGACCATGAGGGGGTGGTGGTGAGGTGACGGGGGTTCCTCTCCTACTGATGCTCCCTGAGAATGCCCAGCTTCTCCATGCACCTGAGGACAGGGACGGACCAGGGTTCTCCTCGAACAAATTCTTACAGAAGGAGCTCCGCGGTCCTAAAGGGGAGGAGGCTTCTAGGACCAGGGTGCTGTATCTTACGGGGGGTTGCAAAGTGGGACTGAGCCCTCCTGGGTGTCAGGGATGAGAAAAGGTGGAGGGAATCAGGGAGTCCTGAGGGAGCCCCGGTGTGGGGGGTGCAGGTTGTGGGGGGAGCACTCTTCCTGAGGGCTTTGTAGTGATGTTGGGGAAATGTCCAGGAAAATCATAACGGGCGACAGTAGAGAAATAAATTAGGAGAGGTGGGGGTGGTCAGGGAGGGCTGCTCAGAGGAGGAGAGCTTGTGGGACTAGAAGCCTGGCAGAGACTGAGACAGGTCTGGAGCAGTCCTGGGAAACACAGAGGGCAGAGGTGAGCAGAGGGGTGGCTGGGGCCTCTGCTGTGAGTCGCACCCTTGTTCTGTGACAGTGAGGATGGCCAGGCCTCTGGAGCAGGCAGTGGCTGCCATCGTGTGCACCTTCCAGGAGTATGTGGGGCGCTGCGGGGACAAACACAAGCTCTGCCAGGCGGAGCTCAAGGAGCTGATACAGAAGGAGCTGCCCACCTGGACCCCGGTGAGCACTGGGGTGCCCACCCTGCGGGGAAGCACTGCTTGGACTCCACAAAGAGAGACCTGGGGACGAACTCTGCGCACAGGGCAGCAAGAGGGGTGGAGGCTGGACTGTGGGGCGGGGACTCTGGGAGAGAGCTGTCACAGCAGGCATCTCAGTTTCCTCACCTGTAAAATGGGATGACAGTCATCACCCTGTTGCCTTGCAGGGTTGTCGGGAGGATGAGTGAGATCGAGGTGAAGAATGTCTAGCACATAGTAGGCACTCAGGAGCAAATAGTAGGTGCTCAATAAATGATCTGAGAAGGAGGATTGGGGAGTAGGATTGACATGGGTGAGTTATCAGAATAGGTAGGCTAAGGTTGGCCCCCAGAAGGGGCGTGGGTTGGGATGGGTGAGACTAACCAGGAGGGTAGAGGGTGGGAGGGAAGCAGTGCACCTATGCGTGCACGAGGTTGTTGTGCCCTCCTCAACCTGCCTCCTCACACCCCTCTCCCTGCTCCCTGCACAGACGGAGTTTCGGGAGTGTGACTACAATAAATTCATGAGTGTTCTGGACACCAACAAGGACTGTGAGGTGGACTTTGAGGAATACGTGCGCTCACTTGCCTGCCTCTGCACCTACTGCCATGACTACTTCAAGGACTGCCCCCCAGAGCCTCCCTGCTCTTAGTAGCCTCTGCTCCAGTGGGCAGGGCTGGCCAGCAGGCAGGCATCTGCTGGGGCCTGCTCCATCTCTGCCCTGAGGTGGTCCTGGGCATGTCATCCACTCCCCACCCCACTCCTGTTCCCTCTCCACTTGGAATCTCCCAGGTTTGCCCCTAATATGTTAACCCATTTTACCCAGGAAGCCAGGAGACGTGAGGGGACCTTCCCCAGGATCACAGCTAGTGACGGGTAGAGCAGCCAGCTGCTGCCTCCCTCCCGTGGCCTGTGATGGGTTTGAGGCTGTTAAGGACCAGCAGAGTGTGCGCATGAATGAGACCACGCCAGAAAAGGGTCTATTGAACTCCTAATAAAGAACTGGTGGCACTTGGCTTGGTTTGGTTCTTCTGCGATAACAGCTGGGGCCTTGAGTCAGAGTCCTGCTGAAGTCTTCATTCCTCTCTGGCCTTTTCCACGGGAGGACAGGAGGCTGAGGGCAGTTTCAGACCACGCAGAAATGAAATGGTCTCAATCGGCCAGCAAAAGGGGGTGGGGTCAACACAAGGACAACATCCAGGGGAGGCTGGGGGGTCTCTCTCTCTCTCTCTGGGGTTTTTGAAGAAGAAGCTCCCTTGGGCTGTCAAGGAGGGCGAGAGGCAGCCTGAGGTTCCCTGGGGTGGAGCTCAGTCCTCGTGACAGGATGTTCTGAGCAGGAGGGTGGGGCCGTGGGTGTGGGGTGGGTTTGTTCCTGCCCAGGGCTGAGGGAGCCCAGAGTGCAGCACTAATAGGATTAGGATGTCTGAGGTCTGATCAGGGTGTTGCTCCCACCCAGGGAGGGGGAAGGAGAAAACTTGAGGCAGACCCCATCCCTGAAGCCACAGCCACCTGAGGGCCTTCACCTCCCACTTCTGACCCTCACTCAATCCCTGAGTTCATACCCCACCCTGAGAGGTTAACCCTGATCCCTGCCTCCCCCATTTTGTGTGATTTCACCTCTAACTTTCCACACCAACCTGCATTCTTCATTCCTGACACCCATCCCAGCTCCAAGCTCCCCCTCCTGATGCTCTACCCCTCCCACCTCTCTCGGTACCTTCAGCCAGCCCTTCCCTGAGCCTCCCCCCAGGACTCCCACTCTCCACTCCATCACTCCCTCATCCAGGACCTTTCTCCACTGACATGCCTGGCTGGTCCCAGCGTCTCCTTTGGGTGTTAGCCTGATCCCTCTCCCAGAGCCCCCAGGCCCCCCCTGGGCTTCACTCAGCACAGCAGAGAGGACTCTGGGGAGGGGAGAAGGGCAGAGTGAGCCGTCCCACAGCACTGAGCCTGAGGTCCCCTCCCTTAGTTTCTGGGCAGCCACATTTCCAGGGCAATGTCCCACCTGTCACTCACGACCCCTGGATCCCCTTTCCAAGCTGCCGGCTGGGACCACTCCCTCCCTGTCCCCCACCCCAGGCACAGACCGCCCCTTCCTCCAGCTCCCTAAAACTCAGGCTGAGCTGTGCTCACTGGGGGGTTGCCCACTCCACTGAGGCCCCCACCTGTGCCCACTGGGGCTCTCCCATTGTCCATCTGTATCTGTGCCACCCTGAGGCAGGAAGCTGGGTTTCCAGGCTGGGCTGGTGGAGGGGGCCGTGGCGCCTAAACCACATCAGCCCACAGCAGGAGGGCTGTCTTTCACTCTCCCCCATCCTCTATCATGGGCAGGGCCTGGCTGGGGTATAAATAGGTCAGACAGCTGGGCTTTCCCCACTCTTCCTCTGTCCCCAACCCTCTGTCCTCAGTGCTTCCTCTCTCTTGGCCTGGTGAGTTGTGGTTGCCTGACTGGCACGCAAGGGGGGTCAGGCTGAGGCTCAGGGCAGAAGTGGGGGCTGGTGGGGGGCAGATGTGCTAAATGGGTCCAGATGTGAGATTCTGATGTGGAGGCTCTAGGGTGGGATGTGTGTGTGTGCATGTGTGCGTGTGTTTGCATGTGCACACGTATGTGCACGTGCAAGACAGAAAAAACAGAAAAGTGTGCAGGTGGCTGGATTTGAGCTGTCCGAGTGGCACTGAGATGCTGGGGTTTGCACGTGCTGTTGTTGTAGCATGTTGTGGTGTGCGTGTGACCTGTGGGTATGCACACTGGTTTGTGTTTGCTGGGTTGCACAAGCCGGTGTGCACCCTTGGGTGTGGGAGGCAAAATGAAGGCAGAAGGTGACTGTGGGCTTTTGTCTGGTGGTGTCCTGTGAGCCTCTGCCCTGCACCCAGCAGCCCAGCCCAAGGGAGCTTGGCCATCCCACCCCTTCCCTGTATCCCTGCCTCTGCCACCTCACCCTGCCCCTCCCTACGCTAGGCTAGGCGCTAGGCTGCTGTTTTTTTCCGCTGCAGGCCCCTGGGCAGGCCTCCAGCAGCCTTGCCCAGTGCTGGGAGGGAGAAGGATTGGCCTGGGTGGGGCTGCTGTGGGCTGAGCTGTGGGAGTGAATGGACTGAATAAGGGATGGAAAAAGCCATGTCGTGGAGGCATGGTCTGGGGGAGGCACCGGGAGCTTGCTGCCTGAAACCCAGAGCCTGCGCAGTGGCCCTGCAAATGTTCACTGCCCGAAGCTCGCATTTCCCACTGTGCATACTCTCCCAGCCAGGAGCTGAGCCCCACCTTTCTGGGCTCCCCCTGTGGTGGAAGCAGGGTCTCACCAAGTGTTCCTGGAGGGATGGGAGTGGGGTGAGGCATTCTGAATACATGGCTGGGGGTGGGGGTCGGGAAGATAAGGGTGTCTCTGTGACTCTGCCCCCAGATCCCGACTGCCACCATGGCATACCCCCTGGAGAAGGCCCTGGATGTGATGGTGTCCACCTTCCACAAGTACTCGGGCAAGGAGGGTGACAAGTTCAAGCTCAACAAGTCAGAGCTAAAGGAGCTGCTGACCCGGGAGCTGCCCAGTTTCTTGGGGGTGAGTGGCTACTGCCTGGGACCATGCCCCATGTAGAGCATTCCCCACAGAGGAGGGCCAGGCCCTGGGAGGCACCAGCCTTTTTGCAGAGCGGTAGCTGTAGTTGACATCTGTCACTGAGATGGGGAAGTGGGAGCAGAGCTTGCTATGGCTCCCTGGGGTGGAAGCATGGCAAGCACCCACCACTCACTTCCTGGCCCTCAGCGGAGAGAGGGCTGAGAATGAACAGGTAGGTTACGGGCCAGACACTCTGCCGAGTGCTTTGCACAACTTAACTGAAGGGAATTTAAGGCTCAGAGAGGTTAAGTAATTTCCCAGGGTAGTCAGTGTGCAAAGCTGAGACCCGCAAACCAGGACGGTCCGCCTCTTGCCGTCACCGCAGCCACGAACAATTTTTGAGTTTCTATTTGGCTTGTGGATGTGAAGACGCAGTTATGGAGACACTCACATGTCTACAGACTTCCCCAGAGCAATCACAGCTTCCATCTGTATCAAACTTTATGCAGTTTATATATTGCTTTCATGACCATAGTCTAATTGGATTCTTAATTTAACCCTGAGGGAAGACATTGTGGTCTCCTTCTCCAGCTGCACCCAGGCACTCAGACTTCCTCATCTGAGGGGTAACCCTCCTCCCACCCTAGTTTAGCCCTGAGGGCTGGACTTCCAAAACTGCCCCCGAGGAGTGGCTGCTCTTTCCTGAGCTCTGATCTGGAGATGGAAACCTTGTCTAGTCTTGGCTCCACTCCCAGGCTTCTAGTGTCCACCTGTATCCTCTTCCCCCTCCAGAAAAGGACGGATGAAGCTGCATTCCAGAAGCTGATGAGCAACTTGGACAGCAACAAGGACAACGAGGTGGACTTCCAGGAGTACTGTGTCTTCCTGTCCTGCATCGCCATGATGTGCAACGAGTTCTTTGAAGGCTTCCCTGATAAGCAGCCCCGGAAGAAATGAAGGCTCCTCCAGACGGGTTTATGATGCAGAGCAAGTTCAATAAAGATTCTTGGAAGCTTTGAGGCTGATGGTCTGAGAGATTCTGGGGTCGTGTGGTGGGGGCTGAGAAATATGTCAGGGTGGAAGTGGGGAGCATTGGGAGTTGAGCTGCAGTTTTGTGGACAGCAGACTGGTGAAGGTGGGAGAGGGATGTGGGGGTGACTGAGGGGGTGTGTGCGCACGTGTGTGTGCATGTGTGTGTTTGTGTGTGATAGAGTTGACTCTGATGGGGCTGAAGGCAGGGAGAAAGGGACCCCCAGAGGCTTGGAATCCCCCAGATGCGAGATCTTAGCAAGCCCACTCCCCACTCCCCACTCTCCGACTTTGCCTCTGGCGAGACCTATAACTGAAGCTGGAATGCAATTGAAGGTCACATCTACTCCTTGTTGGGGTCTGGAATGGAGTCTAGGCACCCTGGGGGAGAGA